ACACACTACCACCACCACCACCACCACCACCACCACCACCACCACCACAACCAAAACCATAACCACAACCACGCACTCACGCACGCACGCACGCGCACCACCACCCACTACGCACGCTCGCTCGGAGCCACAGGTCCGCTACGACACGCGTCCGCGGATAGAGAAAATCAGCGCCATGGTAAGGGATGATGGGAGGGAGGGGTCGGACGTCAGATATGACGCGAGCGCACATAGCTTGCCCCCCCCTCTCTCCTGTCCCCCCCCCCCCGTCTCTCCTGTCCACCCCCCTTCCCTCCCCCCCCCCCTCTCTCCTGCCGCCCCCTCTCTCCTGTCCCCCCCCCGCCCTCTCCTTTCCCCCCCCCTCCCTCTCTCCTGCCCCCCCCCCCTCTCTCCTGTCCCCCCCACCTTTCCCCCCCCCTCTCTCCCCCCCCCTCTCTAGATTGCATCGCGTATGTTATCCGTTGTAAAAAATATTTGGATCTACCCCCCATGGACTGAACGGCCCCCTTAACGGCCCCCTTTTCGTATTGCAATTTAAACAGGAGTCTGTCGCACTGTCCGTCCTAAGTACGAATTCGCATTCTCCCAGTCAAAGCGGTAACGCCCACCGCCCTTCTCTGCAGAAAATGATAAGCGCGCGTTTCGGTCCTTTTTCTTCTCCCCAGTTCTCGTTCCTCTGCCTCCCGCTGACCCCTGCGCTCTTGGGGTCGTCGGGGACGCTTTTTGGAACTGACGTGCCCTGTTTGGGAGGGAGGGCCCTCTTGGAGTCGTCGGGGACGCTTTTTGGAGCTGACGTGCCCTCTGGAGGGGTGGGGTGCCTGGAGCGGTCCCCGGGGGGAGTCCGGGGAGGGCTCCGAGGGGAGGGTCTTGTGGGCGGTAGCGGCTAGATCTGGGGGGGGGTCCTTGGGAACCCCCGAAACATTTTGGGGACGGGCAAACCATGAAGAAAACGCCAGATGGGGGACCGCCACCCCCCCCCCTCCCCCCCCTTCCCCTGACCAGGGAGAGCCCTGGGGGCGGTAGCGGCTAGATCTGAGGGGGATACGCAAATCATGAAGAAAAGGCCAGATGGGGGACCGCCCACCCCCTTCCCTTGCAGAGCCACCCCAGCGACCCCCCCCCCAAGCAGAGCTGAAGCTCTTGCTTAGGCTCAGAGCTGAAGTACTTGCTGAGATTCCTTGTAGCTCACATGCCGGATCGGCGGATGTTCAAGAATCCCTGGCGAAAAACGGGACGGAGTGCACACGAGCGCGTTGTCGCGCGCACATGGCGAAATCTTTCAAAGACTTGTGGTTGCGTACGGGTGTCAAAATCGAGCGTCCCGAATCCATATATATATATAAACATATATATATATATATAAACATATAAACAGTGCTTCGCAACAAGGATGCGCATCAACAAATTTCGCTCGCGCTCCTGCGAATTCATGACATGCTATCAGAGGTGCCCCTTTTGCTCGCGTGCCGGAATCGTTCGAACGCCCTTGCGCGCGTTTTGTCGCAAGAATATGTTGCAAACTTATCCTGCGACGTACCCAACCCTTTCTACACGAGTGGCAATTGCATTCAGGACCACTCAACACCGAAGGACATTTCGGCGCCATGGTATAGTGGTGATCTGCGTAGGACGTCCCTCCGCTGAGCCTCCCAGAAGCCCATGCGCGCCAGGTGAGCCAAGCGCGCCAGGCGCGCCAGGTGCGCCAGGTGCGCCAGGTGCGCCAGGTGCGCCAGGTGCGCCAGGTGCGCCAGGTGTGCGCCAGGTGTGCGCCAGGTGTGCGCCAGGTGTGCGCCCGGTGTGCCAGGTGCGCCAGGTGCGCCCAGCGCGCCAGCTGCGCCAGCTGCGCCAGCTGCGCCAGGTACGCCAGGTGCGCCAGGCGCGCCAGGCGCGCCAGGTGCGCCAGGTGCGCCAGTGGCACCAGGCGCGCCAGGTGCGCCAGGTGCGCCAGGTGCGCCAGGCGCGCCAGGCGCGCCAGGTGCGCCAGGTGCGCCAGGCGCGCCAAGTGAGCCAGGTGCGCCAGGTGTGCGCCAGGTGTGCGCCAGGTGTGCGCCTAGCGCGCCAGGTGCGCCAGGTGCGCCAGGTGTGCCAGGTGCGCCCATGCGGCGGGCGGGGTGGACGCATGCGAACGCGGCCAGTGGGGCCTCGGGTGGAGCTCCCTGTGGAGCCACGAGCGGTGCGAGGGGTGTGGCGAGATGGGCATGCGGCATGCGGTGAGCACGGTGGACGCATGTGACCGCGGCCACTGGGGCCTTCGGTGGAGCTCCCTATGGGGCCGCGGACCGGGTGAGGCGCGTGCCGACCTGGGCATGCGGTGGGCGGGGTGAACGCATGTTAACGCGGCCACTGGGGCCTTGGGTGGAATCCCTATTCGGCCACGGACCGTGCGAGGGCTGTGCCGAAATTGGCATGCGGTGGGCGGGGTGGACGCATGTGAAAGCGCCCGCTGGGTCCTTGGGTGGAGCTCCCTATGGGGCCACGAGCCATGCGAGGGGTGCGCCGATATGGGCACGCGGTGGGCAGAGTGCCGAAATTGAAACGCAGGGGGCAGAGGCACGCATGGGAGGAGGGTAGAGGGGGAGGAGGAAGAGAGGAGGAGAACGCGGGGCGCTGTCTCTTCAAAACGAGGACCCAACACAGGATGGCTGGGAAAAACACAAAATGTTTTGCAACATCAGCTGTCCCCAAAAATTGCGCTCGCGCGTTTGCGAATTCTTGAGGAAAAGCCATACGTTTTTCATTCGTTCATGCAATTCATCCAAACGGGCCTTTCGCGCCGCATGTCGACATCACTCGGGCGCCTTTGCGCGCGTGCTGGGGGGGTACAATCCGCATCAAACGATACAACGCGGGCCACTCTTGCACGTCGGCCGCGCGCGCATGTCGAACTCTTTCCAAGACCTTCATCACCGACGCGAAGGCGCCGTCCTCGTCGCTGGCGCGATCAGCACCGGCGCCGTCACTGGCCGTGCCGTCGCCGTTGTCATCATATCTTTCCCGCCGTCGCTACTATCATCATCGTGTCTACCGTTGTCGACGTTGCCATGACACCGCGTGGCCGACTCGCGTTGAAGTGCCCGCTGGGAAGTGCCCAGAGGTCACCGCCACCGCGGCCGCGCTGGTCGCGCCAAACTAGCTGCCCGCTGCGCGCGCGAGCATTCGCGGGCTATCACGGCCACAGGTGGACCAGCCAACACCAAGCACTCATCGCAATCGCCGCCGCATGTGTTTTGCAAAACACGTCGCGGGTGGGCGGGTGGGACGGTTGCGCGAGAAGTGGAGCTGACAACTGCAAGCTCCACCGGTGAATTGCAACAAGTAGATCGCACCAAATATGCTACACCACATAGAAACCGCAACAGATATTGTGCCATTTCGAAAGCACCACGTCGACTGCCCCGCATACATTGACAAATCTTGCGCCACACAAATTGCACCACGAAGATTGCAGCACAGATGTTGCTTCACGTTTAATTTCCATTCGAACAGAGTATTAGGATCTGACCCCCGCGGACTTAACAGACCACCTTTGCGTTTACGATTCTGCCCCATCGTCCATCCGAACTCTTAGTTCGTACCATCCAAGCCAGGCCGGTAACGGCCCCCTCCATCCTTCGCAAGAAATATTACGCGCGCAGCACACTCGTCTATCAAAAATCATCCGTTTCCAAGAATCCACGGTAAAAGTACAGGACGAAGTGCACACGGCCGCGTCGGCGCTCGTGCATCCCGAAATCCTTCAGAACCTCAGGTTTCGCAGTGATTTCGAAATCGACTGCACCGATAACATATACAAGCACATGGCTTCGCAACAAAAGTTTTCAAAATAATGTGCGCTCGCGCTCTTGCGAATTCGGTTAAAAAACATCGGTTTTTCCAACATCCCCACAAAATGCTAGCCAATGGGCCCCTCGCGCGCGCGTGTCAAAATCGTTCGAACGCTTTTGCGCGCGTGCTGTCGCAAGAACCCCTAGCACAAAAACGGGACGAAGTGTATACGCGCGCGTCGTCGCGAGCGCATGCCGCATGGGGCATCACCCGGCCGGGCCCCCCAGGAGCCCACGAGGGTGTCGACAATCGCGCAGTTGGCAGCACCTAGGAGGGGTGAGTTTTCAGTTGGAAATACGTGGGACACGTCCCGTTTGGATTTGCGTAAGACAAATCTGGTGGGCCTCCCAGGAGCCCACGAAACTGGCGACAAATTGTAAAGTTTGCAGCACCCTGGGATGGGGATATCTTTTGGGACCTACGTAAAACATCACTACGCTGGTCCTCCCATGAGCCCACGACAGTTGCCACAGTTGCGCTGTTGCAGCTCCCTGGGAAGGCGGGGTCTCATTTGGACTTGCGTGAAAAAACATTCCGCTGAGCCTCTTTGAAGCTTACGACAGTGGCCACACGCATTTGGCAGCGCCCAGGGTGGGGGCGAGGTCTCGATTTGATTTGCGTAAGACACTATTATGTTGGGCCCCCCAGTTGCCCGCGAAGGCGGCGACAGTTGCGCAACTGGCAGCACCCAAGACGGTGTAGCAAGAGGCTGGTGGGAGGCAGGTTGCAGGAGTTTTGAGGCGACGGGAGGGGGAGGGGACGGGAGGAGCAGGATTAGGAGGAAGAATAAGCCGCGGTGCTCTGTTGCTTCAGAACGACGGCCCAACCAATCGTTCGAAGGCCCGCGCGGCCACCCGCGGGGCTGCGCAGGAGGCGCCGCCCAGGGGGGGCCGGGACCTACCCAGGAAGTCCGCGCGGGCCTTCGAAAGTTTGCGCGCTGTCGGACACTGGAGCATCTACATTTCCAGTGGCGGACCTTTTTACATCCCAGGACTTTTTGAGGGTCGGGGACGACTTCGGGGTGGTGTGGTGCATGCTGTTTTCCCCATTGTCCCGGGGAGACACTGACAAATGTATGCACCAGGATCCCGCATACACTAGGATCCGCTTCCCTGTGCGAGCTTCAGTGCGGGAGTGGAACAAGCGTCGGTGTAGAGAGTTCGGCTTCCCACGAGGAATTCCACGAGGACCTCCACGCGCATGGGTGATGGGAGCCAGTCCATCCCCGCGGTCGGCTTGCCGCCCTGGTTGGCCAGAGATGGGGGGGCAGGTGCCCAAACATGTGGCAGCCACGAGGAGATCGAGGCAGCCCGCCCGTTGCCACGCCTGGGCCGTGCGAGGCTGCCCTCGAGCGCACAGAGGACCCCCCAAAACGGCTCGGTGTGGAGAAAACGCCCCTGGCAAGGGTCCTGGGTCACACGCGGGGACGCGAAGGTAATCGCGCGTCGCGCGTCGCGGTCTGGGCAACGAGCGGCCGCCCTCCTCGGAGGGGGCGCCGCGAGGGCGCATTGGGCGCGAAGAGAGTCGCGCGCTCGCATCGCGGGGGGCTCCCCGAGGCAGACCGCCGCCATGTCACAAAAGGGCAACATCGATGGATGTCCAGCCGTCTTGACGGGAGCGTCTGGGCCAGGGAGGATTTGGCTGGCTGCTCTATTGGAGCCTGTGTTCTTGTAAACCCCAGCAAGTTTGCTTGCATGGACGGAGGGAAAAAAACTGAACTTGAAGCAAGCCGCAAGCGACCTTGCGGAAATCACGCAAGTCGAGAAACATTTGCACGCTGGTACTCGTCTGAAGAACGGCGAGGATGGGGGTGGGGTGGGGTGGGTGGGGTGGGGGGGGGGTGGGGGGGGGGGTGGGGGTGGGGGTGGGGTGGGTGGGGTGGTGGGGGGGGGGGGGGGGGGGGGGGGGGGGGGGGGGGGGGGGGGGGGGGGGGGGCGAAACGCCATGCAAGTAGACTTGCTTCTTTTTTCCGTGTAAAAAAGAGGAGTCACTGACTGGGTCATTCGCGGGAGCGCGGGGATGGCCGCGCCTCGCGGTCTGGCCCCGAGCTGCTGCGCGCTCCAGGAGAGAGAGAGAGAGAGAGAGAGCCTCCCCCTTCGGCGCGCCTCGCCTCCTCGGCGGAGAATCCCCCTCCTTTGCGGGGAGAGCCAGCGGAAGAGCCAGCGGAAGCACCGCGGAAGGGCGTGCCCGCCCGGCGGAAGGTGGGCGTGAGGGCGGCGGAAGGAAGAGCATTGTCGACCCACATAGTATGGATTGGTAGCCTTCCCAAGGGTACCTTTGCATCCTTGCCTCTTCGGCCCATCCTTGACCACTTTCGTTGGCCGGGCTCCGCTCGAAAAGCCCGGAAACGGCCTTCCAAGGCCCTTGCATCCTTATCGCGCATGTTTATGATACGGGCCGACTGTAAGACATCCTCTGTGGTGGGGCCCAGGCTTAGTCGAAGAAGATAATGTTGTTGGCACTCCGCGCGGTTTTCTTGGATCCGCGCTGGACCACCCTAAGCGGCGCCTCCAGCGCCGCCCCTGGCGCGCTCCGCTCGCCAGGGTAGGGGGTCTAGCGCAGATGCAAGAAGCCCGCGCGGAGCGCCAACAGTTTATGTCTATGCCGTTATGTTATTATTCTTCGTATTATTCTAATTAGTGTTCTTCTTTTTAGTCTTCCTCTTCTTGCTGTTATACGTAGTAGCACTCGTATTATTTTTATTATTAGTAGTATTATTATTATTAGTATTATTATTTAGTATTATTAGTAGTAGTAGTAGTAGTAGTAGTAGTAGTAGTAGTAGTAGTAGTAGTAGTAGTAGTAGTAGTAGTAGTAGTAGTAGTAGTAGTATAGTAGTAGTAGTAGTAGTAGTAGTAGTAAGTAGTAGTAAAGTAGTAGAATTAAAGTAATACTATAAGATTATTATCATATATTAAAAGTAAGTATATTTTGATTAGTAATTAAATTATTATTCGTAAATGATGATTATTATGAATTAGAGAACATTATTGTAATTATTAATCAATTATTATTATTAAACATTAAATTATTGCTATCATTACTATATTAGTATGGGCCTAGGCTTCCGGACTCGGCACAGTGCTCACCCTCCGGGGCGATCGCGGAACAGGCGCTTCACATGCCCGTCGCGCACCGCGCCGCGCGAGGCGCGAGGCCCGCCCCCGCGGCCTCCTAGCGGCGGGCAAGCGACCGCGGGCCCGTGGGGGGCTTGCGGTCCGCGACGCGGACCAACACGCGGGCCAACACGCGGTCCAACACGCGGACCGCGACGCGGTCCAACACGCGGACCGCGACGCGGTCCATGACGGCGACGAAGAGCACCGTCGGCGGCGAGAGCTTGGCCTCGGACGGGTCCATGGGCAAGTACCTCTCGGGCGCGGCGGCGCGCGGAAGAGGGCGGGGCAAGGGAGGGGGGGGGCCCGGAAGCCCTCCTCCGCGTCCTCCTCCTCCTCGTCCTCCTCCTTTTCCTCCTCCTCCTCCGCCTTCTCCTCCGCTCCCTCCTGCCTTCTGAGGGGCCTTCCTCGCAAGCCGGATCACGGTCCCCGCTGAGAGGCCCCCCATTGCGTGCTGGGGAGGCCGCCGCCTCGCCACGCGCCCCCGCCCCCCCCTTGCGCGCCGCCAGCAGGCATGGTGGGAACCGAGGCCCAGAGCGAGATCAAGATGAGGGAGAAGCGGAAGCAGCCCGCCATGCTCCTGGACCTGAAGGGGCACCTGATCAAGGGCGGCATCGACCTGGGGTACTCCAAGAACTCCGTCCTGCGTGCGCTCCAGGAGCCGATGGAGGGAGCGGCGGGCGCAGGGCGCAGGGCCGCGCCGGCAGGAGGCTCCCTCGCCTCGGGGAGTGGGGGTGGCAGCAGGCCTCGCACTCCTGTAGGCTGTGATCCGTCACGGCCTGGCGTCGCAAGTATTCCCCGAACAGTGCTTGCACTGAGGGACCCTTGCTCGTCTTAGTGAGGACTTCAAGGCCTGGCGTCGCAAGTATTCCCCGGACAGTGCTTGCACCGAGGGGCCCTTGCTCGTCTTATTGAGGAGTTCTTCTGGTGGCCGCCAAGTGGCCGCCCCGTGGCCGCCCTGTAACCACCCGTGGCCGCCTTGTAGCCGCCCGTTGCCGCCCAACGTAGCTTGCATCGCCCATCTTGCACCACCTAGCTCACACCGCATAGCGTCCACCAGCAGATTGCGCCACGGAACTTGTGCCGTGCAGCTTGCACCATACAGTTTGTACCTCCCAGCTTGCACCACATGCTTTGCACCACGTAGCTTGCACCACATAGACTCTCCTTTCTTGGAGACAGGTTCTAACACCCTCCCCCCCGAACTTATCGATTTCCCGGGAACCGATGCAAAACACATATGATTATGACCAAGTGTCCATCCGACCTGTGAGTTCATTTTATCCCAGCCAGGCAGGTATCGGTCCCCCCTCGGTTCCCTTGCAAATTAGCTTGGCGAAGGACCCAACCATATGCAGTTGTGAATACAGCAACTGTGAATACCATCTTCGCCCGCGCTCCCTATGTGGCCCCAGCTTCCCGCCGGAGCCCGACATGCTCAGGAACACGTTCGTGGCCGTCTTCGCGGGCGCCGACGGCGACAAGGACGGCGTCCCTCTGACCGAGGAGCACAAGCAGGAGAGGGCTTTGAGAGCCATGAGGGAGGAGGTGGCGTTGTACGTCGACACGGCGGAGTACGACGCCCAGGCGCGGTTGTTGAAGAAGAACAACTATGGGGCCACGATCCTCGTGAGGGGTGTGTCGCAATGGCCCGAGGCCGCCATGCGAACCCTGCCACTGGCGCCTTCAGTGAAGCTCCCTATAGGGCCACGATCCTCGTGAGGGAATACCGAAATGGCCCGAGACCGCCATGCGAACCCTGCCACTAGCGCCTTCGGTGAAGCTCCGTATGAAGCCACGATCCTCGTGAGAGGTGTGCCGAAATGGCCCGAGGCCACCATGCGAACCCTGCCACTGGCGCCTTCGGTGAAGCTCCCTATGGGGCCACGATCTTCGTGAGGGGTGTGCCGAAATGGCCCGAGGCCGCCATGCGAACCCTGCCGCTGGCGCCTTCGGCGGAGCTCCCTATGGGGCCACGATCCTCGTGAGGGGTGTGCCGAAATGGCCCGAGGCCGCCTTGCGAACCCTGCCACTGGAGCCTTCGGTGGAGCTCCCTATGGGGCCACGATCCTCGCGAGGAGTGCGCCGAAATGGCCCGAGGCCGCCATGCGAACCCTGCCGCTGGCGCCTTCGGTGGAGCTCCCGATGGGGCCACGATCCTCGTGCGGGGTGTCCGAAATGGCCTGTGGCCGCTATGCGAACCCTGCCACTGGCGCCTTCGGTGGAGCTCGCCATGGGGCCACGATCCTCGTGAGGGGTGTGCCGAAATGGCCCGAGGCCGCCATGCGACCCCTGCCACTGGCGCCTTCAGTGAAGCTCCCTATGTTGCCGAAATGGCCCGAGGCCGCCATGCGAACCCTGCCGCTGGCGCAGTCGGTGGAGTTCCCTATGGGGCCACGATCCTCGTGAGGGGTGCGCCGAAATGGCCCGAGGCCGCCATGCGAACCCTGCCACTGGGACCTTCGGTCGAGCTCCATATGAGGCCACGATCCTCGTGGAGGGTGTGCCGAAATGGCCCGAGGCCGCCATGCGAACCCTGCCACTGGAGCCTTCGGTGGGGCTCCCTATGGGGCTACGATCCTTGTGAGGGGTGTGCCGAAGTAGCCCGAGGCCGCCATGCGAACCCTGCCGTTTGCGCCTTCGGTGGGGCTCCTTATGGGGCCGCGATCCTCGTGAGGGGCGTGCCGAAACGGCCCGAGGCCGCCATGCGAACCCTGCCGTTGGCGCCTTCGGTGGAGTTCCCTATGGAGCCACGGGACCACGATCCTCGTGAGGGGTGTGCCGAAATGGCCCGAGGCCGCCATGCGACCCCTGCCACTGGAGCCTTCGGTGGAGGCCGCCATGCGAACCCTGCCACTGGAGCCTTCGGTGGAGCCCTCTATGGGGCCGCGATCCTCGTGAGGGGTGTGCCGAAATGGCCCGAGGCCGCCATGCGAACCCTGCCACTGGGGCCTTCGGTGGAGCTCCCTATGGGGCCACGAAACGCTGCATTGGGTGGGTGAAACGCAGGGAAGAGGGGGATGATGATGATGATGAGAGGAGAGGGGGAGGGGGGAGATGATGATGATGATGATGATGATGATGATGATGATGATGAGATGATATGGGAATCACAGTATACGGTGGCATTTGTTGTTCTAACATGACACGTGTTCACGAATCCCTCGTAAACAACACCATGCGGGGCACACGCGCGCGGCCGCTGCGCGCGCATGTCGAAATCCTTTCCCAACACACTGTGTGTTCAACGATTTCAACATCCCGCTTCAAGGAAACCTATGAACGCATACGAGTTGTTCACCCAAACATGTTGAAACATCTTTCCGCGCGCTCTTGCCGAATCCTTCAAAACCAATGGTGTTTCAACATTCCTGTCAAATCGGACTTTTTGGGCAACGTTTGCGCGCACGTCAATCTTATTCAACAACGGTCGCGCGCCTGCCAGGGCCACAATCCCTTTGTAAGAAATACCATGCGGGGCACATGCGCGCGACCGCCGCGCGCGCAGGTCGAAACCCTTCCAACACACATTGTGGTTTCGACAATGTCAGGACCGAACTTCATAAACTCACACGAATCGTACCATACATCCTCGAACAAATCTGCACACAAAAAACGAATTCTACCCGCGCGCGCTTTTCGAATCCTAAACAACCATTGGTTGCCCAATATTTTTTTCACGCGAGCAACTTATGCGCGCGCGTCGAACGCCTTTAACATCGGTCGTGTGCCTGCCAGGGCCACAACCCCTTGTAAAAAAAAACAATGCGGGGCACATGCGCGCGGCCGCCGCGCGCGCAGGTCGAAATCCTTCCAGCACACCTTGTGTTTTCAACCATGTCAAGACCGAGCGTCATGACATTAGGTGAATCGTACCATACTTCCTCGAAGCAGATCTGCAACAAAAATCAAAATGTCTTCCCGCGCGCTTTCCGAACCTTCACAAGCCATGGCTTCTCAAAATTTCGATCACGCGAACAACTGTTGCAGGCGGGAAACGGGTTCCGCAGGCCGAAAACGTGGAACAACCGCCCGTCGCGGAGGCCCGCCCAGTCCTCTCCTCCCTCCTCCTCCTCCTCGTCTTCGTCCCCCCTCCCCCTTCTCCCCGTCCCTTCCTTCGTCCTCCTTCTCCCCGTCCCTCCCTGCCTGATCCTCCTCCTTCCTCCCTGTTCCTTCCCTGCCTGATCCTCCTTCTCCCCGTCCTTCCCCTCGTCTTTGTTTGTCTGGGGGGGCGACGTGGGCCCCTGGAGGTCTGGACCTGTTCCCCGGGGCACGCTTCGTGTCCAGACTCGTTGTTTACGTTCCCGGGGTCTGGGAGACGGCCTCCGCAGGCCGTAAACGTGGAACAACCGCCCGTCGCAATCTTCCTGCGTCGACAGGAGGTCAGGGGGTCGAGGCCCCAGGACGAGGCGGCTGCGCCGAGGCGCCTCTATCCGTCGTCGTCCCCGTGGGGCCCTCCTCCTTCGGCTCTTGTCCCCAACAGTTCCAAGATCCAAGTTCATTACAACCTACGTAAAAAGCATTACTTCCTCAACGAAAAATATTATAGTTTCAGTTCACGCGCGGTTCGATGTGTCGTCGTCGTCGACGTCGTCGTCGTCTGCGTCGTCGTCGTCGACGTCGTCGTCGGCATCGTCGGCGTCGTCGTCGTCGGCGTCGTCGTCGTCGGCATCGTCGTCGTCGTCGTCGTCGGCGTCGTCGTCGTCGTCGTCGGTGTCGCCGTCGTCGTTGTCGTCGTCGTCGTTGTCGTCGGACTCGTCGTCGGTGTCGTCGGTGTAGTCGTCGGCATCGTCGTCGTCATCGTCGTTGTCGCTGTCGTCGTCGGCGTCGGTGTCGTTGCCATGTGCCATTTGGTACCTACCGTCACGGTCCCAAGGTCTTGCGACCAAGTTGAGGGTGGGAGGGTGGGATGCTTGCACGAGCTGCGGAGAGAACAGCTTCAAGACAGTCAAAATCATTTCTCCTTTTGTAAAAAAGCATAGGTTCTACCACCCTCTCCCCCCGGTGTTAAAGTCACCTTTTCGTGATGCAATTTAAACATGATTCTGCCCCATCGTCCATCCGAACTGCGAGTTCGTAATATCCCAGCCAAACCAGTATCGCCCCCCCGCGCCATACTCTGCAAAAACTATGCGCGCACATTCGTTTATCAAAAATCACAAGTCTCCAAAAACCCCTTGCAAAAACTTGGACGACGTGCGCACGCGCGCGTCGTCGCGCGTGCATGCCGAAATCCATCCAAACCTTTTGTTTCGGAAGGATGTCGGAATCGAGTGTCAAAAACACAAATAAAAACACCGGGTTTCGCAACACGGAGTTCCAACATAGAGTTGCGCGCTTTTGCGCATTATTAAGGAAACCACAAGTTACAAGTTTTTCAGCATTTCCGAGAATGCTACCAAACGGGCTTCGCGCGCGCGCATGTCGAAATCGGTCGGCCGCCCTTGCGCGCGTGCTGGGGTGGCACGATCGGTCTCAAATAATACCATGCGGGCCACTCTCGCGCGTCTGCCGCGCGCGCATTTCGAACTCTTGCCAAAACCTTCATCACCGACGCGAAGACGCCGTCATCGTCGTCGGCGTGATCAGCATCGGCGCCGTCATTGGCTGCCCCGTCGTCGCTGTCAGCATCGTCACCAGCATCGCTACTATCATCATCG